AATTAAACTACTTTGGGCAGTATTGACGATTAGCCTACCCTGGGTAATATAAACAATTAGCCTACCGATGACATTGTTATTTCCCTAGGCTTTGGATCAGCAAATCTTTTTATCTTTTTTAAAAAAATAAAACTTTCTATTTTTCTTCCATGGTGCCAACATGCAATGTTTTGTTTTTTTACTATTTTGGAAGAGCGTTAATGACGCCTTAAGCACATGACATTCGGGGCAACTGCCCGAGGTTCCGGTGCCTTGAGCCGGCCCTGCTCCCTATTATGAGTTATGAGCCGAAGGCTTACTTCATATTTGTTCGTAGGATATATGGATATTATTATTAGAAATTATTTTGAAACTTCACACGTTTAAAGACTTTAATTACATGGTATTAAACTTACATTTCCATCAATATTAAGGTCTTTAATTTCAATATAGTTCTCGTAATGTGCAATAAGGATAGGTGTTAATTATAAATTGTATAATGGTATCTTGTTTAAAAATATAGTTATTATTCATATTATTTCAATGGATTCGACTCCATGTATGTTGATCTAGAGAAATTGAAAATTAAAAAAATATGATATTATTTAAAATGTATTTTTAAATTAAAACTTAAGAATTTAACGGGGGGATACAAATAGAGCACGTAGCATAAATTATTATATTGCAACCGTTTGTGTTTTCTTTAAATGTGCTACTTTAAAAAAAAAAAAAGTAATAAAATAACAAGGTTTTACAAAAATACTTACCCAATATTTATTAAATTCCCAGCTGCCAGATTTTTTCTTCTTTTAAAAAAAAAAAAATCATTATAATAAACAATCCTCCCTAACTATTTGCACGCACTTTAAAAATGAATAAAAAAAATTAGATGAGAATCCAGTAGAAAGCATTTTTTTTAAAAACGTTTATGAATGTGAAATAACATTTCGATTCTCAAGCCAAGTCCATTTTTATGTTAGTAATTATAGAAATAATTCTTCTTCCTGGAATCGTCAATTCAAAAATAAATTACATGGATTTGTTTGCTTGTTTTTGTTTTTTTCCTGTTTTTTTTCTCAAATTTGTTAAGGTATATCGAAAAGACACATTTTAATTTATCTGCTCGATAAAATCGACTGGGTCGTGTCACAATCACAATGTCTTGTATATTATAACAGAGGCGAAGTAGTCCAGATAGTGAATAAATAACATTATCAATCACAATGCGAAATACATCTCATAAAAATCCGAACATACTTGGTAGGCCTACTAATATTATATTAATCTCAATACTTCAATTAATAGCTTCTGGATATTCTTCTTCACTTCTTACAAACTTAATAAAGTATCAACACACTGTAGACTGTTCAATCTTCTCACATAAACTTTTTATAACTGTCATTTATAATTCAACCTCCATATCTTGTTTTTTTTTTCTCGCTCTGTAAGAATTTACCAGCGTACTCCCCAAGAAGTCTCAAAACCAAATGGGAACTAATACGTCCCGGAAAAGACTAAGAGAGTTGACTGAATGGCTGTTTTTTTTTCATTTGTGAAATAATTTACTTTAGATGTCTAGTGTTCAAATTGTTTTATTTATATGCGAAAAATGAACAATGCAATCAAAGCACATTTCCATTTGTTTGGATCAATAAAATAATCGTATCTAATCTTATCTTATCTTATTATTACAATCAAGAAAATTTTGGAATTTTATACTTAATGTTTACATAATTTTCTTCAGATAAATCACACATTAATAAATATATGATGTTATTTGTAAAAATTTCATGTCTCCCTAACATAATAATGCAGTTTATAGATGATTGATAAAAATGAACAGTTCTGGAAACCCATACAAATGTATAGATAGCCCTTTCTACAAAACATTTTTTTTCTCTTTGACACTGATAAAACTTGATAATATTTAGAAAAATATATGTTATTACAAGTACAAAGACTCTTCTTCTCCAGTTACGTTCACAGTGTAAAATAAAGCTATCAGTGCTTTTTGTGATGGAAAATATTTTTTGAAGGAATGTTTAAAAAAAAATGTTTTTGTTTAAAATTGATTACTTATTTCAAGAAGTTAACCCCAACACTAGATAAAATAAACATTAAAAGCCACATTACCATTTAGTAATATATATATATATATATATATATATATATATATATATATATATATATATGAGTATAACCAGTGGCGTAGCTAGGGGAGGGGGTCCGAATTCGAAAGTCCCCCCGGGCCCCTACTTGAGGGGGGCCCCCAAAGGCGTGTCCGAATTTTTTTTTTACATTAAATAATGTCGAATGTCAAAATGCAGGGGCCCCTGAAGAAACCAAGCCCCCCGGGCCCCCAAATCCCCCCAAATCCCTAGCTACGCCACTGAGTATAACGCAAGCAGGTCGCTTGACTTTTCGAAGCCCTCGATCACTTTTAAGTTTTGTCCTCCCCCACATTGCACTCAAAGTTGTTAATTAAAAATGATTTAAAATATTCGAGGTCCCCTGCAGCCGTAGGTCTGCTGAGCCAACACAATGGCTCTGAGGTTAAATGACACCCACGGTACATTTTAAACTAGCGTCTTACTCTTCCGTTGCTCACCAATTAACAATAGAATATTGCAAAACTATGTTCTAAAATGCATTCTTGCGTTTTGAATTTATCAAAAAATTTCTGTGTTCTGTAATTATTTAAGGGACGAGAATAACCTAATGCAAAAAGTATACCCTCAAGGTCGAAAGAACTGGAATAAATTTAGCTCATGTTGTGCTGGGGCGGAGTTAGCGATATCCTTGACCATTATAATGGCTTATTTTGGCGCTTCCCATCCGAATGTCTGATATGCCCCCTCAAAATTTTCTGAAAGAAACACAGAATTCAAATGTGAGCCAAAATTCATCCTTGCACTTTGGGTCAGCCCGAGAGTCTTCGACACCCTCTATTTCTGCACTCCCCTTCGTTCACGCTGATCAGTTTGACAGTCGGGGGTTGAATCTAAAGGTTTTGCCAAATGATTGCTCTGAGGCGCGCCACAACTGCAGTCCAGTTTATGTAAGGCACTAGGCGCAATAATGCTTCCGACGAACGTCTCCCCCCCCCCAAACTCCTTTCCCCCTGATCAATAGAAACACTGAATTCAGGTATACTCGAAAATGCACCTCTTGATTTTGAAATAATCAAAATATTATCTTGGGGGTTGAATCTAAAGGTTTTGCCAAATGATTGCTCTGAGGCGCGCCACAACTGCAGTCCAGTTTATGTAAGGCACTAGGCGCAAAAATGCTTCCGACGAACGTCTCCCCCCCCCCCAAACTCCTTTCCCCCTGATCAATAGAAACACTGAATTCAGGTATACTCGAAAATGCACCTCTTGATTTTGAAATAATCAAAATATTATCTGGGCAGGCGACTCAACAGACCAATCCTTCGCACCCCCGTTCACAATAAAAATTATTCTGCATTTATCCGAAAATGCCTCCCCTTCATATAATAAAAGGTGACACCTGGGCCACTTCTACGCCACTGGCGTGTGTTTAGCGCCAGGGGACAAGATTCATTTTTATACCACCTTCCCCTCAACTCTGAAACCTATTATTTGTATCCATTAAGTACCACAACGGCCCATTTTAGCGCCCCCAGGAGCCTGGCAACATCTACCCTTCTTCCCCTTTCAGCTACGCATCTAGCCGATGGCACTACCCTCTCCCCCACCCCGAGGAGCCTGAAAGAAACACTGCTTGCTATGGTTACGCCCCTTGCTTAGAAAAATGTCGGTGGTGGGGCACACTTTTTTTTAGGGGCGCCATTTTCGGTCCACTATTTATACTTTTATTATTATTATAACACACTAACGACGACAAATTTTAAGGATTACACATCATAATAAGCCACGTGTACTTCGTCAGTCGAAATCGACAATGACCGACTTAACCACGAGTTAGAGTAGGGGCCGGTCCAGGTCGTTATAAAGTGAAGTTATTTCAATGGTTAGTGAGTCTACTAGCTAGTATGAGACTTCTTAGTAGCAGAGGAGTCTATTAATCAATGTTATACGTTAATTGTAAAATGTATTGCGTATTAAATTAACTTAAAATGATATAAATTACAGTGAGATTCATAAGATGAAAACATCTTATTGCCTCATGTTATAGCCTCATATTCCCAGAACTGATGCCATTCTTACCCTCTGCTTTGCAAGGCTCCCGCCTATGGACCCCCTTGAAAAAAAGTGACCCATTTTTAGCCGGGGGTGGGGGAATGTAGATGGGACGGGGACCTCATTTGATCTTGAACTTGAACGCAGACCTGGTCTTCAGCGCGCAAATTATAGTTCTAATGACATCTCTGACATATGCATACCTGCCATTTAGATAGAATTAGGCGAAGAAAAGAGACAAAGTAAGGAAATAACGCAAGCCTACAAGTCGTGACTTTTCCCCAAGACGGTAATTATCAAAGTGAGTAGCAGAAGCCCACCCTGACTAAATGCCGTCTAGGGTAAACTCCAAATTAGCTGTCACCTACCTTGGCTAAATACCACCCAGGGTAGCTCCAAAATAGCTGTCACCTACTTTGGCTAAATACCACCCAGGGTAGCTCCAAAATAGCTGTCACCTACCTTGGCTAAATACCACCCAGGGTAGCTCCAAAATAGCTGTCACATACCTTGGCTAAATACAACCCAGGGTAAACTCAAAAAGTGCGCCCTTACCTTGACTAGATGCCACCCAGGGTGAACTCCAAAGTTAACTCCTACCTTGGCTAAATGCCGCTCAGGGGGAACTCCAAAAGTTCAATAAAGCAAACATCGATTATATAAAGTTAAGAATATATTATTATGACGCCCATCAATTATCGCTCCTTTCACACTCCCCAGATACGTCTCTGATTGAAGCAAAATTTCCACTGGCCAGTGGGTCTCCGCTGGGGCTCACCCGACACGATTTCTTATTAAAAATCGTTCCCAGATAGATAACACAGAAGACATGCGAGGGTTTTCGATATTTTATTTTGACCTCCATGTTATCGAACAACCAAAACACAAAAACATAATTATACCCCGTCATGGTATTAGACAAAAATAGTCGATAAAATCCTGCAGGAATGTCCGTGGCGTGAAACAGATGACTCAAATATTGGATGGATTCGGGTAGTTCATCGACGAACTGGCTGTGTGAATTAATTGCTGCGAGAGTTCTCCCCATTGGTCGATTACGATTACACGCGATAGTCATAGAATCAGAATTTGACGTTCTTGCAGAGTCGATTCAAAGACTTTTTTTCTCCCACCTTAATCGTGTATTCGTGTCTGCAATATTTCCTGTTCGACGTTCTCATGCAGTCCGTTAGAATATTTCTACCTTGTATTTACCCAACACTTTATGGCACCTTGGACAGCGGTGCTCAGTGTCCTGTGCACGTTCGTGAAAAAGCGGAATTAAACAACACCTATGGATAAAGCAAAGAAGTTACGGGATAAACATACTTAATAATATTACAAATAATAAAGTTCATGTCAAAATCACGCTTCATCCCTAATAAAGGCTCGAAGCACGGTACTAAATTAATCATGTAATGACTATTTATATTTTTCCACAAATAAAATACTTAACTGAACAATACAAAATCTACATCGAGGAATGTGAGCAAACTGGAAGCAAAGAGGTAGACTACATAACCCTTGCACGTGAGTGCGAAAAAGATGTGTTTTCAATTTAGTTTAGAAAGACTGCAGTGCCTGGCTCTTCTGAGAGTGACAGGAAGGGCGTTCCAGATTCTTGAGGCAGCAAACGCGAAAGTGCGCCTTCCGTAGGTCTCAGGGTGGACTCGAGGTATCTAGAGTTTGCCATTATCGGATGAACGGAGTGATCTTGCGGGTACATAAGACGTCATGAGCTCTTTGAGATAGGACGGCGTCATGAGGTCATACAAGCAGCGGTATCACAGAGTTGCAATTTTGTACTCTATGCCAGCACGGACCGGCAGTCAATGCAGCTCTCTCGGAAGAGTTTTAGCATGGTCAAATTTGCGTTTGCGCATAATAAAGCGAGCCGCATTATTCTGTGCTTATGAATTTTATCTTGGAGCGTAGCCGGAAGACCCACCATGAGAGCATTGTATATTAGTCCATGTGTGATAGTGTTGGCACTAATGTGAACATAAGCCTCTTTGATGCACCAAACGTTACAAAAGGTCTGATATGACTTATTTTGCACATCTCTAGGTAAACCAGCTTGCAAAGCATGTTAATGTGATTTTGCAGTTAGTGTTCTGTCTAAGTAGATACCCAGGTTTCGCACTGTTTGAGCAAACTCAATCTGAAAACCTTAGAGAGTAAGGGGTGGTGTGTTATTTACAGATGTTTGCATCTGAGCGGTAGCATCTGAGTGGTAGCAATGGGATCAGCTCAGTCTTTTCGTTCAATTTGAGCTCGTTTATTGTCATCCTGTGCTTAACTGACTCCATGCACTGTCTTCTGTGTCATACTTAGAAGTTGAGGGAACTGGGAGGGGATCACAGACTGCTGAAATCGGGTATCATCTGCTAACATGTGATATAGCATTTCAAACTGCTTGATCACTGCGCTCAGAGGCTGCATGTACATAGTGAAAAGCATCGGGCCTAGGACCGAGTCATGGGGTTCTCCGAACTCGATAATAGATTGCTTCTAGGTCAAGCCTTTTGCGATAACTGTTTGGACCCGATTTGTCAGTTTCGAGCATCCGATCCAGTGACCTCCACAAATTCGCTCAAGGAAAGCCGTTAAACGGTGAGAATTTTGGGGCATCGGTGCAACTAGTTTGGCCCTTAACACCCGCAATAGGAATTGTTTATGAAATATGATTGTCTGTGGGTTTTCAAACTGTTGGGTGTTACAGAAAAGTCCCAATTTATAACACTGATCATTTTCGAATCTTAAATTTTTCACCGCGTTCGGATTTAATGAAAGAGGGCAGGTGAGAAATGGGTTAGTAGGTCGGGGAGTGAATTTGTGATGAGTTGGGTAAGGGTCGGGTACGTGCTAGGATATGTTGTTTTTTGTTTGCTTTTTAAAAAAAAAAATTGTGGGGAGGGGGAGGTTGGGTGGCCCGGGGGGGGGGTTCAGGTACATACCAAGTCAATATCGAACAAACAACATATCAGGTACATAGCCCGTCAATACCAACATACAACATGTAAGATACATTCACATACAATACCAAAATACAACATGTAAAATATGGGTATGTTGTTTTTTGTTTGGTGTTTAAAAAAAAAAATTGGGGGGGGGGGGGGGTGGGGTGGCCCGGGGGGGGGGTTCAGGTACATACCAAGTCAATATCGAACAAACAACATATCAGGTACATAGCCCGTCAATACCAACATACAACATGTAAGATACATTCACATTCAATACCAAAATACAACATGTAAGATACTCTCACATTCATTACCAACATACAACACATCAGGTACATACCCAGTCAGCACCAACACGCAACACATCAGGTACATACCCAGTCAACACCAACACACAACACATCAGGTACATGCCCGGTCAAAACCAACACGCAACACATCAGGTACATACCCGGTCAACACCAACACGCAACACATCATGTACCTACCCGGTCAACACCAACACGCAACACATCATGTACCTACCCGGTCAAGACCAACATGCAGCACAGCGTCCACGCAGCGTTTCCCCTGACTTTCTCCGTCGCCGTGTACACCAGATTACCGCAGTGCGTACACTGAATGTGAACCGGGACCTTGTGGAAACGTGGGGGCTCGTACTCCTTGGCGAAGGACTCCCGGTTTTTGACGACGACCGACTCCCTCTTCTTGTGGGGGGAAGACGCCAGCGGGGAGCCCGATTTCTCGTTGGGCTTGGGCGTGGGGCGATCTACGCAGCCAGTCTGGTGGGGTGGTATTTGTGTGGGGGGAGTGGGGATGTACACATTACCATACTGGTCATCACTTTCCAGAGTTTCCGTCGACTGCTGTCGGTTTTTCTTAACTGGAAAGAAATAAGGAATGCGTTCAAGTAAAGACATTCGAGGGTTTCAAATAGAAACTTTTGGTGGTTTTGAAAAATTATCGACCGATCTTGATTGGGCAGGCGCAACATTTAGATGAGAGCCGTGGGGTCAGCAAAGGTGTTGGCTGGCCGTAACTGGGTCGTCAGCTGGTCACAGCACGGGTGTCAGCTGGTTACAGCTGGGATGTCAGCTAGTCACAGCACGGGTGTCAGCTGGTCACAGCACGGGTGTCAGCTGGTCACAGCACGGGTGTCAGCTGGTCACAGCACGGGTGTCAGCTGGTCACAGCACGGGTGTCAGCTGATCACAGCACGGGTGTCAGCTAGTCACAGCATGGGTGTCGCCTTTTTACAGCAGTGATGTCAGCTAGTCACAGCACGGGTGTCAGCTGGTCACAGCACGGGTGTCAGCTGGTCACAGCACGGGTGTCAGCTGGTCACAGCACGAGTGTCAGCTTGTTACAGCAGGGCTGTCAGCTGGTCACAGCTGGGGTGTCAGCTATTCACGGCAAGGGTGTTGGCGTAATGAGGTGGCGAGCTAGTTTGGACCAGGCCGCTTGGTACAGCTTCAGTCAGTGCACAGAGCAATTCGGATCTTATCATTTATAAATGGCTGCTTGAAAATTTTTTGGGGAATCTTGAGCTCCAGAATTAACTTGATCTAATTCTAAATTTTTATACTCTATTATTAATAGCACCAGTAACTCAAATTATTTGACCAAAAAAAAATAAATAATAATTTATGCAACAACTTATAAAACTTTGAACATTTAGGAGCAAAGATATCCAGTCATCGAGCGAAGGGGACCGCAATTATTTACAAAGTTTTACAACGAATACAGGTTCTGCTTTTCATCCAAGCTGCCTTAGATAATTCACTCCGAGGTCAGTTCTAAAATAAGCAGTAGACTACTTAAACAAAATATATTTGCTGTCATTATTTTTTTTTGTACAGTTTAACATTTTTGACATTGTGATTATGATTTTCCCATGTCTCTTACAGATACCCATGAGCAGCACTGTACATGTTACGAAAACGTTCATGCGATTCCCGGAATGTCTTTCGGGGCCGGATAAAACGTTTCAGTGGGTCACATTAGCCCACGGGCCTTAGGTTGCCCACGGGCCTTAGGTTTCCCACGGGCCTTAGGTTGCCCACGGGCCTTAGGTTTCCCACGGGCCTTAGGTTTCCCACGGGCCTTAAGTTTCCCACGGGCCTTAGGTTTCCCACGGGCCTTAGGTTTCCCACGGGCCTTAGGTTTCCCACGGGCCTTAGGTTGCCCACGGGCCTTATGGGCCTTAGGTTTCCCACGGGCCTTAGGTTTCCCACGGGCCTTATGTTTCCCACGGGCCTTAGGTTTCCCACGGGCCTTAGGTTGCCCACGGGCCTTAGGTTTCCCACGGGCCTTAGGTTGCCCACGGGCCTTAGGTTTCCCACGGGCCTTAGGTTTCCCAAGGGCCTTAGGTTTCCCACGGGCCATAGGTTGCCCACGGGCCTTAGGTTTCCCGCCTCTGGTTTAGGTACACCCAAAATGCATGTAATGGCAGAAGGGATGCTGTTGATAAGACGCGTCCACAAAATATATTAGGTACTGTTACATAAGTTTCATAGAGGAAGGAATGTTAGTTATCATTATCACATTGCCGACGGATCCTGCACAAAATAACGTTAAATAACGTATGTATGTCCGCCAGTAGTTTAGTAATGATAGATACATTCAGCCCATGCGCAACTTTGGCGAACTGTTAACATAGAAATAGAGCACTTTGTGATTTTAGTGAGGTAAATCATTGTAACTTACATATCATGAGTTAATTATTAATCCAAAGAGTAGGGGTTAAAACATGTTCAGCCCAACAAACCACAATGGCTACATCACCACATCGGGACAGCACTACATAACACAGCTACAAGACCGCACAGCCGTACCGAATAAGGAACCAAATCTGGAGGCGGATGGTGCCCGTGTCTTGACTTTCACATCTTGATCATTTTCTGTCCTGTCTTTGTTTGTGATCATTGCTTCATTTTACTGAATGGGCTGCGTGTCAAGACGAGACCGAAACGGTGCACGGATGGACACACTAAAAATCGCTTTGAAATGGTGCGCTCAACTGAAATGATGAATGTGAAATTAATCCAGTTATATCTAGAGACATTTTAAGCAGAGACGTGCCAAAGCAAAGCTGAACCCTGCGAAAAACCTCAGTTTTTCGCGCCACCTTCTAAAAACTTTATAGTTATATGAACAAACATGATTTTATTGATACAGATATTGTATACGTATATTACTATGTATATGGCATCCTCCCATCTTCGCGAGACGATAGAGTAGCTATGGACACTTCAACAAATGGTTCGTTAGGCCGATCCTGGAATGGCAATCTGGGCTGCATTTATCCCAGAAGAATCTTGACTCCTGGTTGGATTTAACCTTCCGTATTGTTCGTTTGTTTGCTTGTTTGTTTCGCGCATCTTCTGCCTTTTTGACTCCTTCATACACTGCTGTTCGCCAGCTGTAACGTTGCTCAGCCATGATCTCCCATTCGTTGATTTCTGTTTTGGCTTCCCTCATGCTCCTTTTGCAAATGCCCATACATCGCAGGCGTGGCCGTCCAATAAGTCTTGTCCTTAGTGCCAATTGTTCCATTAATGCCTCACCATTGCTCTGTCGCTGGCTCACAATTGTTCTGTCACCGAATCACCATTGCTCTGTCACTGACTCACCATTGTTCTGTCACTCACTCACTATTGTCCTGTCACTAACTCACCATTGTTCTGTCACTTATTCACCATTTTCCTGCCCATGACTAGCCATTGTTCTGTTACTGACACATCATTGTTCTGTCACTGACTCACCATTGTCCTGTCCCTGAATCACCATTGTCCTGTCACTGACTCATCATTGTCCTGTCACTTACTCACCGTTGTCCTTTCACTGACTCACCATTGTTCTGTCCCTCACTCACCATTGTCCTGTCACTAACTCACCATTTTTCTGTCACTTACTCACCATTGTCCTGCCGATGACTAACCATTGTTTTGTCACTGACTCACCATTGTCCTGTTACTGCCTCACCATTATTCTGTATTTAAAAGTAAACGCTGATCAGTATAAGAAATATCTGCTGTATATCGATACTGAATGAAGCTAATCTAGAGGCTTCAATCTCAGATGTTATTGTTTTCATAAATTTAACAGGTAATCGGTGTTTGGTGTCTCAGACGATTAATTTCCAAACACACAGGTAATTCTGAAGTTCGGTAGGCTTCCAATTGTTGTACTGTAGAATAAGTTAGTAATATATTTGTTTACGCCGAAAGTGTAGAATTTTTAAAGTAAGAAAAGTCTTTGGTTGAATTTTTTATACATATTTTTTGGCCATGTCTATGATAATAATATTAATAAAGGTCATTTCAAAAACACGCTTCATCCTTAATTAAAGCTCGAAGCGCGATACAAAGTATAAGTATTTCCACAATAAAATACAAAACGAAAAAAAAAAAAAAAAATCTACGTACAAGGAAATGGACAATACAAGCCAATATACATCGAGGAAAAGGAACAAGCCGGAAACAAGGAGGCAGACTACATCCCCCCAGCAGGTGAGTGAGAAAAAGATGTGTTTTCAACTCAGTTTGTAAAGATTGCAGTGTCTGGCTGTTTCTGAGAGCGACAGAAAGAGCGTTCCCGGTTCTTGGGCCAGCAAAATCGAAAGTGCGCCTTCCGTAGGTCTCAAGGTGGACCCACTGTATCCTGAGTTTGCCACTATTGCACGAACGGAGTGATCTTGTGGGTACATAAGGCGTCATGAGCGCTCTTGAGATAGGACGACGCCAGGTCATATAAACAGCGGTAGCACAGAGTAGCAATTTTGTACTATATGCCAGCCAATGCAGCTCTCGCAGAAGTATTTTAGCATGGTCAAATTTGCTTTTGCGCTGAACAAGGCGAGCCGCATTATTCTGTGCTTTTTGAATTTCATCTAGGAGCGTAGCCGGAAGACCCACCAAAAGAGCATTGCAGTAGTCCATGCATTATAGCACGATTGATGACATCAGCCTCTTTGATGCATCAAACGTTAAGAAAGGTCTGATATGGCTAATTATTCGCAGCTCTAGATAAAATCTAGAAAAGCATGTTAATGTGATTTTCCATAGTTCGTGTTCTGTCTAAGTAGACACCCAGGTTTCGCACTGTTTGAGCAAGCTCAATCTGCACACCTTAGAGAGTAAGGGATGGTGTGTTATTTACAGATTTTTGCATCTGAGCGGTAGCAATCGGGATCAGCTCAGTCTTTGTTATCGTTCAATTTAAGCTCGTTTATCCAATGCTTAACTGACTCCATTGTCTTCTGTGTCACACTAAGAAGCTTAGAAAACTGAGAGTGGATGACTGACGGATGAAGTTGGGTATCATCTGCTAACATGTGATATATCATGTCAAACTGCTTGATCACTTCACCTAGGGGCTAAACGTACATCATGAAAAGCCCCGGGCCTAAGATCGAGCCCTGGGGTACTCCGAATGCATGCCTTGTTAGCTGATTATTAATGGTGACACCTAGGTTTGGTTATATTCTTTCTGGCAACATGTCTCTCGATAATCACATCTCTCACAATAGGGGCTCACCATACACCGCTATCCGTCAGATCAGCTCAATCTGAAACTACCTTACAATAAGCGCAACAAAACCCTAGTCTATGCTCTTGTTATCTCTCGCCATGACTATTGCAAAAACTATAAAAGTTTCAAAACTCAGCTGCTAGGCTAGTTCTAAAGGAAAAAAAAACAACGTGATCACGTCACACCACTACTTCATTCACTTCATTGGCTCCCTTTGAAAGCACGTATTGACTAAAAGCTCTCTGTTCTCTGTCATACCTTTTTCTCTGATCCCTGCCCTTCCTATCTAACCAAACTTCTCTCTGTCTATTTACCCCCACGACAGCTTCGCTCCTCCGCAGACTCGCGTATTCTTTCTGTTTCCAAGACACGCACTAAAACATATGGTGAACGATCTTTCTCTTTCTGCGCCCCCAAACAATGGAATTCTCTTTCACTATACATCCTCAATTTATCGACCATCCAGGCCTTCAAAATTGCACTCAAAACATATCTCTGGAAACTCTACTATCCCTCTGATTCACTCCTCTAACAGATAAACGATGCTGCTGGTTGCTGTCCATGGCGTGACATGTAAAAGTTACGGGGTGGGTGTTGTGAATATATATTTGTTATTGTATTGTTTTTATACAGTTGTATTTTAAATTAATAAATGTATGTTATTTTTTAATGTCTCGATTATGTTTGCTAATATTTTTATATGCAGCGCGGTGAGCCCAGCACTAGGCTGGGGTACTGCGCCATGTAAGACCACTGTAATAATAAATAATACTAATAATACTAATGTCTCTACCTCCTTTATACTGTGATTATCTATTGGGAGATCTGCATCTGGGTGATTCACCCTCCGGAAATAAACAACAATGTCATTGGTATGTATTGTATGGGAGAATGCAACCTGGAGGCGCTCCTGTATTTATTTCGCTAGTTAATGATGTATGGTTTTTTCACCATGACATATTGTGGGCGATTTGTAAACAAAATTCAGTTAACATCCTTAAATATTTGAATTTACACCTAACAAAAAAGTTTTTAAACATATGTTGTGTTTGGATAGTGTTAAATACGGATGAGAAGTCTAGGAAAACCACATTAGCATATTGTTTGGAGCTGTCTAAGCGATGGTCCTTTACAAACAAGCTTTTGGAAGTACGTATGTTCAGCCCAACGTTCAGGTATATGGCGAGAGGCTTAAAGTTGTAAATTGCGTCTCATACGTTGGCAGTACACTGTCCCAAAGCAATTTCAACCTTCGAATAGCAGGAGCCAGTGCAACTAATTGCAGATGGTCCAGGAGTGGTACCAGCACTGAAACTACAATGAAGGTAACTAAGGAGGCTGTGCTCCCTGCGCGTATCTAGTCATGTTAAACGAGGCCGGTCTATAAACGCCATGCAAAAAATTGAACCACATTCATGTGACAAGTCTCAGGAAAATTAACAAAATATTAAATGCCAGGACAGGGTCCCAGACATTGATGTAATCGCACAGCCAGGTCATCACGGCATCTTTGCCACCTAAATGCTGAGCGGGACATCTTGTGCGAATATCAGACGACCACTTGAGCTCGAACATGGAGGGCGGTTTTCTGGTGGGCAGAAGGAGCGCTTTAAAGACAACCTTGCAGCCTCACGAGTACTGCTTCTAGCCGATATTCCAAGCAATTGATATCTGCCGCCAAACGGGTTCAACACAATATTTAGAATGCGACACCACCATAGTTTAGAATATCAAATAATAGCCTTTGATTTCACCAAAATAGTTTATAATTCCGTATAATAGACTAATTTCACCACAATAGTTTTAGAATTCCATATAGTAGACTGATTTCACCACAGTAGTTTAGAATGTCACTGGAGAGCCCGTGATTTGTATACAACTCCCCACCGCCTCCCCGATTTTTACTTTCGTCCAATAACATTATAAAAACAAGATCCACTAAGTGATGCTTCACTTAAGTAACATTTTATTATTACTAAAACAAAGCAATGTTTCATTTGATCAATAAATAAAAACAAGTTTCAACAGAAATAAAATTTCTTCAGTGGACATTCCTTTCACCCATCAGTGGTCGTTGATTCACAATGCTGGATCCACTGAACAACCGCTGACAATCTTTCAGAGAAATGCTTGTTGAAGAAACTAAATCCAGCGTCGGTTTCTGCAGCAAGCAGGAGCGGTTCCTTCCTGAGCGCGTATTTTCTCAGCTCATCTGGCGGACTCCTGAAGCTGTTTAATTTTCGCAACCTCCTCACGAAACGCCCCTGAAAGATACACATGGTGTGGAGCATTTGGTCATGGAACTTGATAAACCTGCAACAGAGGGAAAACAATAAAAAAATAAAATGAAGACCAAACACTCTTTATGGTCTCGGTGGTGCTCGTTGAGTGCCTAACTGCATTGATTGTATGTGCGATTTAAATTCATGGCCTAATCAACTTACCAGACCGTTGTACGGCTTATTCGGTAATTTCCGAATCTGCCGCTATAGCGCGTTACTAATTTTCGGTACTTTGCCTACTACGTGAAAAAATGAGTCAAAAACTAAAAATAACCAATCAATCCATTGCAAATATCTTCCATCCTGTGTTTGAATTGACTTTGTATGGTTTGACGTGAAAAAAAAATCTGAAAATTCACAATGAAACGAGTGGCTGATGAACCAAGCACTGCTGCAGGAAAGCAAACCAGTTCTGGGCTTATCACAGCCAACCCCCACCCATGAAAGGAACCCTGCCCTCAACGAATGACCCCCAGGAACTCATTTTCCAGAGATTTTCTCTGGGATATCGTCTAATCATATCCGTACCCATCCCCGGTTGTCTTGACGTAGAGTCTTCCCACTGGATATGGTGGGCCCGGACGAGAGAGTGAGGTTGACGCCGCGCAACTCTTCCTCACCTTAAACAACACAAAAAGTCACCCGCGCAAGTCACCAGTCACCGGACAACTCGATGGTCAACGTCGATCTTCGACGGCCGAACGATAATAATAAATAATCTGTGTTGTGGGCACGGAAAAGCACTCAAGGTACCAGAGTCAAAATGCTGGAGTGTCTTACAAAGACAATACGTATACAAGAAGGTGAAGATTAAATTCTGGTGCTCACTTTGCAAGGAGTACCTCTGTGTGAAACAAGGTTCATCCTTCTGGGTGGATTGTCACACAAAGGTGGAATATTGGCGCTAGATGAACGGTGGTCCTATTTTCTGCAATGTCCCTAAGTCCCATCTTATTCCAACCACTAAGACTTGTGAGCATGTCACTAACATTATTTCTATGTTATGTTGGTTTTTTCCTCTTTAATGTTCAGGAACCCAGGAATAAGGGACAGTTGGGTTAAGGGTCCCAGGGCTGGTAGGGTTAAGCAACCCCTAAACATAAAGTGTTTTTTTAAACGTGTATATGCATCACTTATTTCTCTTGTATGTATTAAGCTTCTGGTATGACTGCTTCCATTTTCGACTGCTTCCATTTTCGACTGCTTCCTAACAAGCTGGCTGCTTCCTATTTAGCGTATTTGGTATTTAAGTGATTATCTTAGCTTTTGCTGTATGCTTTGTATTTTGTGGCGCATATTTGGGTATGCGAAATGGCGTTGTTAATGTTGTTATGTTTATAGCGGGAGTGGCAGTGATGGCGTAGTTAGTAATGGAGTGTTAGTGTCACAGACCAAATTGGCTGTGAGTTTACACACGACACTTTTATGTCAGGATGGCGTAGTAATTTGATCATATAGACGTTGTAACAACTTATTAATCACGAGAAAAGAGCGAACTAGTTTCTAGAGCGGAGATAGACTGCACGCTTCAGTGGGGCGAGGGAGTACATGATTTTATCTGACAGGGATCAGACATCTTTTGATTTTCTCTTGTATGGATTATTGAAGTATTGCAGTATTGAAGTATTGAAGTATTGAAGTATTGAAGTATTGAAGTATTGAAGTATTGAAGTATTGAAGTATTGAAGTATTGAAGTATTGAAGTATTGAAGAAGTATTGAAGTATTGAAGTATTGAAGTATTGAAGTATTGAGGTATTGAAGTATTGAAGTATTGAGGTATTGAAGTATTGAAGTATTGAAGTCTTGAAGTCTTGAAGTATTGAAGTATTGAAGAAGTATTGAAGTATTGAAGTATTGAAGAAGTATTGAAGTATTGAAGTATTGAAGTATTGAAGTATTGAGGTATTGAAGTATTGAAGTATTGAAGTCTTGAAGTCTTGAAGTATTGAAGTATTGAAGTATTGAAGTATTGAAGTCTTGAAGTATTGAAGTATTGAAGTCTTGAAGTATTGAAGTATTGAAGTATTGAAGTATTGAAGTATTGAAGTATTGAAGTATTGAAGTCTTGAAGTATTGAAGTATTGAAGTATTGAAGTATTGAAGTCTTGAAGTATTGAAGTATTGAAGTCTTGAAGTATTGAAGTATTGAAGTATTGAAGTCTTGAAGTATTGAAGTATTGAAGTATTGAAGTCTTGAAGTCTTGAAGTATTGAAGTATTGAAGTATTGAAGTATTGAAGTATTGCAGCATTGAAGTATTGAAGTATTGAAGTCTTGAAGTATTGAAGTATTGAAGTATTATGATTCAATTGTGATGTGGAATATTATACAAGTGTGTTATTATTGCATCTTAGAATTATTGCAGGATATCCTCCTGGCAAGTCTTACTATTATTGTGTTTAATTTATATAATAAAAAAAATTGTAAATCATTGGATGTTATCATTACTTATTGAGTGAGAGAGGAGCAGATGTAGATTAATCATAACTACATCGGCTTGACCTCGAAGAAATCTAATCTCGAATTCGGAGTACCCCAGGGCTCGGTCCTAGGCCCGATGCTTTTCACGATGTACATTCAGCCCCTGGGTGCAGAGATCAGGCAGTTTGACATGTTGTATCACATGTTCGCGGACGATACACAACTTCATCAATCCGTGATCACTTCTCAGTTCCCTCAGCTGCTCAGTATGACACAGAAGACAATGGAGTCGGTAAAGCACTGGATGACCATTAACAAGCTCAAATTAAATGATGATAAGACTGAGCTGCTCCCCATTGCGACCGCTCAGAAGCAGAAATCTGCAAATAACACGACATCCATTACTCTCTCAGGTGTGCGTATTGAGTTAGCTCAAACAGTGCGGTACCTGGGTGTCTACCTAGATAGAAGACTAACTTTTGAAAGTCATATTAACATGCTATGCAGGGCGATTTTTCTGGAGCTGCGCAGGATTAGTCAAATCAGGCCCTTCCTAACAATTGATACAACAAAGAGGCTGATGTCTGTAACTTTTGAAAGTCATATTAACATGCTATGCAGGGCGATTTTTCTGGAGCTGCGCAGGATTAGTCAAATCAGGCCCTTCCTAACAATTGATACAACAAAGAGGCTGATGTCTGCATTTGTGCTATCACGCATGGACTATTGCAATGCTCTCAAGGTGGGTCTTCCAGCTACGCTCCTGGATAAAATTCAAATAGCACAGAATAATGCGGCTCGCATAGTTCTCCGCAAATTCGACCATGCAAAAACACTTCTGAGAGAGTTGCATTGGCTGCCGGTGCGTGCTCGCATAGAGTACAAAATCGCAACTTTGTGCTATCGCTGCTTACATGACCTGGCGCGTCCTATCTGAAAGAGCTGCTGACGCCTTATGTACCCAGTAGAGAGCTCCGCTCATCCGATAGTGGCAAACTCTCGACACCACGTGTTTGCCTTGAGACTTACGGAAAACGCACTTTCGCATTTGCTGGTCCAACAATTTGGAACGCCCTTCCTGTCGATCTTAGAAACAACCAGACACTGGAGTCCTTTAAAACCGATCTAAAGACACATCTATTTCACAAATACCTTCTGGGATGATTGTCTACCTTATTTTCCATGTGTTGCTGTGTTGCTCCGGGTTGAAATGGCTAGAAAGACTTTGATATTGTATGCTTGTAATTATAGATATGTTTTTTGTTGACTTTGTACCGCGCTTCGAGCCTTTGGGGATGAAGCGTGTGTTTTTTTAAATGAACTTTATTATTATTATTATTATAACTCAAGTGATAACGGTAGACCATCCATGACAGTGAACAAAGTAATAGTTAACCATGTTATATTAGCAATAGAATAACACGTGTTATAGTCAGTAATGGGGTTTTTAATTTAATAAAGAGACATTTGCTACACCAATCATTGGTTTCTAAAATAAATTAATAAATTGAATTATCTATACATTTGTAAATGAATGTCTGTTTGTATGTATGTCCCGTGTGCGCTCCTACACCATTCATCCGATTGCGACCAAACTTTGGTGAATTGTTGTCCGCTCGCCCACGCATTTTTGTAAGCAGTGCTTGGTTCATCACCCACCCTTTTAAAATATTCCATTTTTTTTTTGGGCCGTGTGCCCTAAATTCGTTTTTTAAAAAAAATGAGTTATGTAAATATAATTTAAAACAGAGCTGTGCATTTGTTGATGGATTTTAAACAAATACAAATAGCGACATTTCAGTTTGTGTGTGACATAATAAGTAGGTTTCTGAATTAGTGCAACCTGTTTACAATATTCCGTTTGGGACCGGGGACTTTAAATTCGTTTTTTTTCCCCTTTAATGAGATTTATACATATAATTTCAAACAGAGCTATTTTAGGGGGGGGGGGGATCAATCGCTACAAGTGTGTCGGCTAAATTTTGAAAATCCATGTTTCCCGCGTGGAAAGCTGTATGTGGCCTGCAGACACGTCGGAAAAAAACTTGTAATTTATCTGTGTACGCACCAGATGGAAAAACAAAATGTCTACATAAAAAGTACCTTAAAAAACATAATTAAAACACAAACATTTGTTCTTTCTTAACGTGACATAGCAACGCATGCCAGGTACTCGCTAGTATTACATATTATTCTCTATGTTTTAAAGAAAATATGGTTCAATAGTGAGTTCTAGGGGAGGCAAAATATAATTCCTGATAACGGAGATCAATGATTTTTTTTTAATAACGCAATTGCATTTGGTGCGTAATATTTTCTTTTCGGAAATGAAATGGTCTCAATTTAAATACGGTGTAATAAATATTCGTTTTAAAATTGGTTGGGACATCAGTAAATTAATATTGTTCATGGGCGTGAAGTAAAAAGTGTGCAGTGACGTTTCATGGGAGTATGGGGACTAGCAAAAATTGGAATTCTTAAATGTGCGATACTTGAGTTCATGCTTTGTCAAGTAACTTAAGTAGATGGGAAGTTCACGCATTGCTGTCGCCAATGTTTCGCAGTTGCTTTTTTTTTTTTTTTAAATAATTATTTTTCTATTATTAGTATTCTAATTTCTAATAATAAGCTCATAGAGCAGTTATCGGGAATTATATTCTCGTGAAATCAGTGTCATCCTATTTCCTTCACCTTCCCCTAGAAGATAAGGACACAATTATACAGGTTAGATCTTGACAGCCAGCCACGAACAAAAGCGAAGTTAATATAAAGGATTTTAAAAAAAATAAACAATTGTGCTTGCGCAGGAAATTCAGTTTGTGCCGTCTTCGTTTAGATAGGGCCGTGAGTTTAGATAGGGCCGTGAGTTTAGATAGGGCCGTGAGTTTAGATAGGGCCGTGAGTTTAGATAGGGCCGTGAGTTTAGATAGGGCCGTGAGTTTAGATAGGGCCGTGAGTTTAGATAGGGCCGTGAGTTTAGATAGGGCCGTGAGTTTAGATAGGGCCGTGAGTTTAGATAGGGCCGTGAGTTTAGATAGGGCCGTGAGTTTAGATACGGCCGTGAGTTTAGATAGGGCCGTGAATTTAGATAGGGCCGTGAGTTTAGATAGGGTCGTGAGTTTAGATAGGGGCATGAGTTTAGATAGGGCCGTGAGTTTAGATAGGGCCGTGAGTTTAGATAGGGCCGTGAGTTTAGATAGGGCCGTGAGTTTAGATAGGGCCGTGAGTTTAGAATTTTTTACCACTTCCTATCTCATTATTCTGTCATCCCAGGAGTGAAAAAAAAGGGGGGGTGGAGTAGTAAGTATAAACTGCACTACCTGGTCATAGTGGCATACGACAAAGCTCTTGAATTCGGGATGTATTATAATGAGATCATATTCAATCTTGTTTTTTTGTGACGGTCAATAAAGATATATATGAGTTGAACGCTCGTTTTCACCAGAGACTTTGGGGTGCTCAGTTAGGAGCCATGTATGAGGTCTTAGGGATCCTTGTCTATTGAGCCATATTTAGGGTTGTAGGGTCGTTATCTAGAAACATAATTAAGGGATCTTAAAAATATGTTTTTCTTAAGATAGATCAGAGGTTATGGTAGCTCATAACTGGACTGCCCAGAGAAAAACGGCAGTAAAGATTTGTATGCCATTGGCGGTTCTTAGAGGTCAAATGTGTGTGGATCATATTGACTAGGGATACATGGCTATAGCCATTTATACATAACTAGCACCATACTTGGGGTGTACACACATACTTAACACCGTACTTGGGTTGTCCATACATACATAGCTACGTCCTAGGGTTGTCTATACATACCTAGTACCATGCTTGGGTTGACCATACTTTACTTGCCCCGTACTTGGGTTGTCCATACATAACCATCCCCATACATGGGTTGTCTATACATAACCATCCCAGTACTTGGGTTGTCTATACATACCTAGTACCATACTTGGGTTGACCATACTTTACTAGCCCCGTAAATGGGTTGTCCATACATACCTAACACCGTACTTGGGTTGTCCACACATGCCTAACACCGTACTTGGGTTGTCCATACATACCTAGTCCCGTACTTGGGTTGTCAATACATACCTAACACCGTACTTGGGTTGTCCATACATACCTAGCCCCGTACTTGGGTTGTCCATACATACCTAACACCGTACTTGGGTTGTCCATACATACCTAGCCCCGTACTTGGGTTGTCCATACATACCTAACACCGTACTTGGGTTGTCCATACATACCTAGCCCCATACTTGGGTTTGTCCATACATACCTAGCCCCGTACTTGGGTTTTCCATACATACCTAGCCCCGTACTTGGGTTGTCCATACATACCTCGCCCCGTACTTGGGTTGCCCATACATCAGGTGATAAGCGTCCAGGAAGCCCCTCTCGTTGTCAATGAGCCACAGTTTCGTACCGGCATACTTTGAGCGCTTCAGGTTCCGAATGGGTTCCTGGAGAATGTTAGTGTTGTTCTCCTTGAAGGCAGCCTCCTGCATGCTGACCACCCTGGACATGGTTGAAACAATTATGGATTAAATCACAGCCCGACACAATGTGACTTAGTCAAATCATTTTTGGTCATAGCAAAGTCATGCAGTTTGTACTCGTTATGATTAAACCTGGAAGTTACTTCTTGAAAAAAAACACCAAAAAAAAACGAAAAACGTGGTTTTGATGTAATAAATCCATTAAAATTTATTCCTAGCAGTAAAGACACGCCCATTCTGACGTAAAATTGCGGAGCTGGAGTTTGGCTCCGTACTTTAAATTTCCGACTGCACATACCTGTATCAAAATCTTTTCAGCCAAACCCACCGATTCTCATTGCTTTAATCATAGCGATCATCAATTGTGCTGTCACATTAATACCAATTGTACCGTTGCATAAACATCAGTTGTACCATTGCATCAACACCAACGTCCACGATCTATTCCTTAATGCGTTACATCTGCACCAATTTACCGTTCTTTAAGATCACCGCGCAGCTTACCTGTCGTGATTGCCCGTCAGATAATCGAAAATTATCATCGATCCCCACTGAGCCAGCGCTATCAGGGCCCTCGTCACTCCATCCCTGACGTCATATCCTTCACTGCGACCAATGACGTCGACCGTGCTCGTGACGTTCGCTAAGGTTTCCTCTATGTAGACGAGTAGCGCGCTCTTGTCAAAGGGTATTCCCGTTCGAAGTGCGTTTAAAATTGGCGCCGGCATGAACACATTGGATCTTGTTGATGGGGACAAGAAATGCGTGTATACTCAACAAATCAAATATATTTTAAAGAAAATTAATATAGAACAATTCATTATACACAGAAAAGAAATATAAAGGGCACTTTAAAAGTAGTTAATGATATAAATTTATGTGTGGGAAAACAAGTGTTCTCAAACTGTTGCCATCCCAATGATTGAATTGACACTGGTGAATCATGAATCATTCAAACTTGGAAATGGACCAACTTTTTGTTCTTTTTAGGGAGGCAGCTAGTCCTCCAGCCCAACAAATTCTCTCAGGAACATTGGCGAGTTAACATTTGAAACAAAATCTCACAAACATTGGCGAGTTAAAATATCAAACACAATCTTCGGAATAACATCGGGACACAAATATAACATCGGGACACAAAGATAACATCGGACACAAAGATAATATTGGAATACACTAAGATAAAAGCGGGACACAAAGATAACATTGGACACAAAGATGACATTAGGACACAAAGATGACATCGGGACACAAAGATAACAGTGGGATGCAAAAATAACAGTGGGACAAAAATATAACATCGGGACACAAAGCTAGCGCAAGAAAATAAGGATAATTCCAGGAATACCTCTTATGGAAGGAGTTATCAATCTCGTCGATCCACATCATGACGCCGAGGTGATCATTCCAGGTCCATCTCATGACGTCACGCGTGGACCACTGGCTGGAGTTGATGGTGGAGATTGTCACAGGTGGCACACAGTCCAGGGCCAGCAGCCGGGCCAGCCAGTAGGAAAGAACTTCCCCTGGGCAGGGACATTTTGATCATGTGAATATTGACGCTGGAGCTTAACATTTTTAAACATTAAATTGAAACATTTCCTTTTAGAAGAGCACACGATAACATCACCACGTCAGATGTACGTCCTACTTTGAACATTGTCGAAACTAAATTACGCGGGCTAATAACATGACCTGGGTTGCTCTCAGGGGCGTCACTTCAATTTTTTTTTCAGAAGGGAGCAAAACCAAAACTTGGTCGGCTTGTTAAGTTGTTTATTACTGGTGGCGCCAAAGTACCTAGCAATTTAAATAAAACCTGCACATTGTGGGGGGAGGGGGGAGATACCCCACCCTCCCCTATCAAAGGACGTCCCTGGTTGCTCCGTATAATGTCCGCACATTCTAAATTGCCGGGAACCAAAATATAAGTCCTGTCAACCGATTTTTGGATACGGGAGATTCTAATTTGTGTTTAAAGTTTCAGAATATGTTGTGTGATTACGCTTCATTGTGTGCCGACAATTACAAATATACGTGAGCATATAAGCTCTGCGAACATCAACCAAAATGTTCATAGGGCGTACATACTGACATGCCAAACCAAAACCTTACGACAATGAGGTTTGTCTGTAGCTGAGAAATGGTTTGCCGAAAAAGGTGCTACAACGACATTTTTATTTGTTAACAAAAGAGCTGACCGCTGTAACTTTGACTTTGGATGACTGGTCAGCTAGGAATCGCCAAAAGTGTTCTCGCTGAGTCTCGTCGGGGTTTCGATAGTCTCGACGGTAAGAACGCGATCATGCCATGCGTGTTTCTGCAACCCGTGCGTCTGCAGGGAGCATCTGGTTATTTAAGGGGGCCTACAATTGGGGTGAGAATAAAGACTAACTATCAACTTTGAATGTGGGGTGCACACAACCGAAGGGTGTGCAAGGGGTCTCCAAAAGTCTAGCGACGGCTCTGAGGTCATGTCGACTGGCTAACAGATTTGACATTGTCGGTAAATCAATTTTGTCGGCATCGTTACCTAATTGACTAATTAGAGAAAACAATTCAATACTAATGCATGCTTTAAAACCAAGTTTGGAGAAAATTGAAAAACGTCATTTAGTAGTACCCCATAAGTACATCAGTAGTACCCCCACAAGTACCCCAGAAGTACCTCAGTAGTACCCCACAAGTACCACACAAGTGCCTCACTCACCTTGAATCAAAGAATTACGAGGCGATCTGTAACGCACACATACGTTACTTCCGTCCGCCATGCTGGCAAAAAAGTTGTTGAAGCCGCTGCACCTGGAACCTTCAGACGACTCCACAACATCGAGTTTCATCTTTCGAGAATTAGCTATCCATTGATCAGCCTCTTCTTCAGAAATTCCTGGGAAAAACGACAGGAAAATGTTAGAGTTTTATTAAATATCTTGCGTGACATAGGGAGGCGTATTTACTTGTGTGCCTGTGTTGGGAGACAGGGGAAAGGTCAAATTATCACGAGAGATCCCGTGTCTTTGAATACTCAATGAGACAGGTTGTCTTAGTAATTGTCAACATAGGAGGGACTGCATTCAAGCCGCGTGAAGGAAATGGTGGAACTAGATATGTTAGGCTTGAAAGGAAAAGACAGGACAAACGCAAGAGATCGTATCGGCTAGAAGCCTCCTTCAGCAGGCAAGGCGAGAAACAACAAAGAATTGGATTAATTTTTCTTCTCCAGGCGCTCTATTCTTGGGGTAGAAGGAGATGCATGTCAGAAATGGAAGCGCTCTGTATATTTGAGACGGACGTTAATTTGTCCATAACCTAACTACCTGGCACCCGGGGACATCTGTCCCCCCCTGCATCCCCCTCGCTACGCCTCTGATTCCATTAGACAATGAGACTTGTAATAGTACCTGGATCCTTTAAATGCATTTCTATTATTTTATTATATTATTAGTGCTCCAATGACACATCCGCTTTTAAAACCGCAGATTTATTTCAACAAACTATTTCAGAAGGAAAAAAAAAAAAAATTCAAACATTCTAGCTGCGCCTCTGTGAAGAACGTAGCCAGCGGAAGGGGTTTTGGGGTGGCGTATGTAGGTTCCTAGTAGTACAGTGGGATGTCAAAGCTCTTTGTTATTACTAATGTATTATTATAACATCGCACATTCCACCCTTTTTTTTTTTTTTTGCAAGCTTCCCTCTCAACTTCTACGCCATAAATTATCTCCCTATAATTGTCTCGCGCGAACGCCAAGAATCCAAGTTTTTTTTCTGTCCTTAGACCTCAGAGCTCACAACACAACTCGCTACATAGATACAGATACCTTGTGGTATGCCGCTAATGAAGAGGTAACGACCTTTGGCCTATCTTTTGCCACAGGCCAAGAACTCTCGGTGTATCTCTCGTGGGACTTGGGGGCTGGGGGATGTGGGGTGGGGAAGGTTGGAGGGGGGGCGAGCAAGCAGCTGCTCTAACCATCAAAGACAGTCTGTTTGGTGTTATCTACATAGAACAATGGCCACTTACAGTCGTGTGTGAGTGGCCATAATTTATAGTACTCTCCAAGCAAAAAATGCCTCGTCGAAGAACATCAATCGAATTTTAAGCAAATTACAATTGAAGTTAGAGAGTTCTTTTTAAATGAAATGTAAACAACGTTTCAAGAAGAATGACTCTATAAAATGAAATTTCATTTTTAAACAACCTCTGACTGCCTCCAACCTCTGGCTGCTTCCAACCTCTGACTGCTTCCAACCTCTGACTGCTTCCAACCTCTGACTGCTTCCAACCTCTGACTGCTTCCAACCTCTGACTGCTTCCAACCTCTGACTGCTTCCAACCTCTGACTGCTTCCAACCTCTGACTGCTTTCAACCTCTGACTGCTTCCAACCTCTGGCAGCTTCCAACCTCTGACTGCTTCCAACCTCTGACTGCTTCCAACCTCTGACTGCTTCCAACCTCTGACTGCTTCCAACCTCTGGCTGCTTTCTACCTCTGCCTGCTTCTAACCTCTGACTGCTTCCATCCTCTGACTGCCTCCAACCTCTGGCTGCTTCCAACCTCTGACTGCTGTCAACCTCTGGCTGCTTCCAACTTCTGACTGCTTCCATATACCAATCTTTGATTGTTCCCAACATCTAAATGCTCGAACAAAAAACAAACAACATCTGACTGATCCCATAAACATATCTGACTGACCACAAACTCTGATTGCTCCCAAAAAAATCAACCACGGACTGCTCCCAACCACTGACTGCTCCCAACCACTGACTGCTCCAAAAAACAACCCAAAAAAAAACAAAAAAAACCCCAACATCTGACTGTGTCCAACAATAAATATCTGACTATTCGAAAACCAGCCCTTTAAAAAGTCAAATAAATCATTTAAAAAACTTTTTTCAACCGCTCCCAACACGAAGGCTCGTAATATAACTTTGTCTAAAACGTATATCGATGTGTCTCAAGCGTATATCGATGTGTCTCAACTAGAGACCGACCGAAAGTTTAAAATGACTTTCAGCCGAAACCGGAAATAGGTTGAAAGTTTAAAAATGACTTTCGGCCGAAACCGAAAAAAGGCCGAAAGTTAAAAATGATTTTCGGCCGAAACCGAAGCCGAAGGCGAAACCGAAAATGAAATATTTAGATATTTTGAAATTCGTTCCCGCATACATTCTGCATACATCAAAAATAACGGGGGAAAGCATAAATATTTATATTCTTTTTATAAAAATGGGATAATCGTGAATATTAAAAAATAAACATCTAATATAACATCTTGTTGTTAAAGATCGTTTAGTTTGTTCTTAAAGATCGCTTAATTTGTTCTTAAAGATCGCTTAATTTGTTCTTAAATGTCGCTTAGTTTGTTGTTAAATATCGCTTTTGCCGAGAATTAGATGACCGAAAATTTCAGTCACTTTCGGCGGATGGCCGAAAGTCTAAGTCAATTTCGGCTGAAATCGAAAAAAACGAAAGTTAACTTTTCTCTTTCGGCAGAAACTGAAATTAAGCCGAAAGTTAACTTTCAGTTTCGGCCGAAACCGAAACTTAGCCGAAAGTGATAAAATGGCCACTTTCGGTGCGGAAACCGAAGCCGAAGCCGAAATTCGGTCGGTCTCTAGTCTCAACCGTATAGAGATGTGTTTCTGTCGTATAAAGATGTGTCTCTAGCGCATAGAGACCTTTCTCATTCCCAGCGATTGTTTCTTTGCTTAGTTGGGCCTCTTGTATTGTTTGCAGGCCACGACACAGCTCTCCCCCCTCCCCACTCCCGTATTTCCAGCCATGTTTACCGTACACTTCCTGCAGAGCTCTTGTAGATAAACTCTAGTAGACTCGGAGTTTCCAGTTAAAGAAAGCTTTCAACCTCAAACGGACAGCGGTAGGTAACTCTACAGTCAGAGTTACGTGCTCTTCTTTACGGTAAAAAAAAAATGGAAAACGATGAATAGGCATTTTCAAAATGTATTCTTGTCTTCTTCCCACGCTCACAAGATGCATCGGATTCCTAAGGCCAACATGCTTGTCTATCACCTACTTTTTTACCCTCCTCATCATGCATTCGCTATTTTAAAAGTGAAAACAAACAAAACAAACAAAAACAAAACAGCTTTCCATTCGAGGCACGTGTAAAATAGTACTACACAACCAATGCAATAGAGTAGCTCTACAATAGAGTAGGTCTACAATAGAGAAGAATTGAAAGTAAGTTTAAGCATAGTGCACTGGTATATTTTCTATAGTTTAATAAAACAACAGCTGTGTCCAAAGGCCATGATTCCATGTGCCACGAGACATAATGCCACGAGTCCAAATGCCATCATACCAGATGCCAGGAGTCAAAATGCAACGTGTCCAAATGTCATGATTCCAGATGCAATGAGTCATGAGTCCAGATGCAATGAGTCATGAGTCCAGATGCAATGAGTCATGAGTCCAGATGCCATGAGTCCAGATGTCATCAGTCCAAATACCATAAGTCCAGATGCCATGAGTCCAAATACCATAAGTCCAGATGCCATGAGTCCAAACACCATGAGTCCAGATGCCATGAGTCCAAATACCATGAATCCAGATGCCATGAGTCCAAATGCCTTGAGTCCAGATGCCATGAGTCAAAATGCCAAGATTCCAGATGCTGTGAGTCCAGATGCAATGAGTCATGAGTCCAGATGCCATGAGTCCAGATGCCATGAGTCCAGATGTCATCAGTCCAAATACCATAAGTCAAGATGCCATGAGTCCAAACCCCATGAGTCCAGATGCCATGAGTCCAAATGCCTTGAGTTCAGATGCAATGAGTCCAAATGCCATGAATCCAGATGCAATGAGTCCAAATGTCTTGAGTTCAGATGCCATGAGTCCAGATGCCATGTGTCCAGATGCCATTACTCCAAATGCCACGAGTCCAGATTATATGGGTTAATGTTTGGCTTATTTTAGCCAGACTAACATTATCTTCTTTACCCCTTCGTTATGTTGAAAACTGATGATAGACAAAGAACCGTAACTCTCGTGCAATTAACTCATTGAATCAGCTTCATCGCCCTTTCTTCTCTACCAATTTCACTCTCGTTTCCAGACGTTTAAAAAATATCGCCAGCTTTGCATGTGCATTGATACCTCCCCCACCCCATTTCTGAAACGTGTCTAAATGCAGACAGCCTGACTGTCGTACACCCCCCGCCCGGAGCCCAACACAGGTTCACGTAACGTTATTGCTCGGAGTGGTACCGCTGCCCGCCCCGCTTTCCACCCCCTCCCCCTACTCACCAAAAAATGGTGGATACAACCTCGTTTTAAAGCCTCGCTCCCCGTGGGAACTTATCGTGAGGGGGGGGGGGGGGGGGGGGGGGATTGGGGTTGGGGGGCGGGGGCGGGGGATAACATGGAAGCCAAAAACAACCGACATGTAACGGGAGTCAAAAAATGGTGGATACAACCTCGTTTTAAAGCCTCGCTCCCCGTGGGAACTTATCGTGAGGGGGGGGGGTGGGGTGGGAGATTGGGGTTGGGGGGCAGGGGCGGGCGATAACATGGAAGCCAAAAACAACAGACATGTAACGGGAGGCAACTCCAGATGAGTTACAGAGAGGGGAGATAAGTACAATCAGACAGTCATCTCAATCTAAGGAGAGAAAAAGGCTAATCTTCATTACGTCCCGTTATCACGGGAAGCCGTTTTGCGAGACGCAAGTGCTCTGGAGCAATAACTTCAAATCTTATGTTTTAACGCCTTTCAAACAACTTTAACCTTTGACATCAGTAGACATCAGACATTAGACAATAGGCAATAGACATAAACCATTATATATTAGACATTAGACCTAAATTAGACATTATACATTAGACTTTATACGTTAGACATTAGATTTGGTGTTTTGAATATAGTCGATATTTTCTAAAGATCATGCATGTTTTAAGATCAAGATGAAACTCTAAAGCAATTATTACTCGCCCTTGGCGTAAGTCATGAGTCTTAATGTTGAAACAAAATTGTTGCGGAAAGATGATAGTAATGACTTTAATGACCTTTCAGGGAGAGAGAGAGAGAGAGAGAGAGAGAGAGAGTAGAGAGAGGAGAGAGGGAAGGATAGATAGAGAAAGAGAGAGTGAGAGAGCAGAGAGAGACAGACAGAGACAGACAGAGAGAGACAGAGAGAGAGACAGAGAGAGAGACAGAGAGAGAGACAGAGAGACAGAGAGAGAGAGAGAGAAAACGAGAGCAAGAGAGAAAAATAGTTTTGGCATTATATTGAAATAGTGCTATATACTGTGGTGCCTCGACGTACGAGTGCCCTGACATACGAGATTTTTGAGATACGAGGCGTCGAGCGAGCGATGTTTTGCTTTGAGATACCAGAAATATTTGAGATACGAGGAACCAGAATAGAGGGTCGGCCGGCTGCAGTGACGAAAATTAAGCGAAAGTAACAAAAAATTGTACAGTGGAATGTAAATTCAGTGAAGTTTAGTTAAGTTCCATTAAGTTTATGGATGGCGTGTAGCATTAAGAGTGTAGCGAGTAAGTGAATTAAAGTGACCGAAAGACTTAAGCATTAACAGTGTAGCAAGTAAGTGAAGGAAGTGAAACTCCTTCACCTATCTCCTCCACCCAAATCCTCCACCAGCATCTTCCGTAAGCTCAAGTCAGCTGATGTCCAAAGTAAATACACTTTATAAAACCAGTTTATTTCTTTACATTCTCTTTTATTATGTTTTTATACAATATTTGTCATCTATAAATACATTTTTCTTATTCAAAAACACGTAACAAAAACAACTGAGGTGGCATTTTGGGGGCTGGAACGGATTAATGGCATTTCTATTGATTTCAATGGAGAAAAATGCTTTGAGATACGAGCAAATTGACTTAAGAGCAAGGTTACGAAACGAATGAAATTCGTATCTCGAGGTAGCACTGTATGTTTACAAATGTCAGACACATCTTTTTAGAAATGACACGGATTGGTAACCAGTTTTATTACACGATGAGTTTCGTATGCTCCCGATACATAAACATTTTTTTAAAAAAATGAAGAAATACACATTCTCTACTATTATGTTTATGAGGAATTATTATTTCTGTCCATTTACCTTTTGGGATCAGTTTGTCCACCTCGTGCGTCCAGTAGACGCCGTCCACATACTGGTCAAGATCGTCCGCAATCGATTTGACCAATGATCTGTCCACTGTTCCCCGTGGGGCAGCGTGATTTGAGACGCCTGTCAAGTGTTGGAGTGGCTTGACCCGGTTACCGCCGTCACTCCCAGTTCGGCCGACGCCAGTCAAGTTCCCGTGAGGATGGATCAACGGGGCGCTGAAACTCTCAGGGCCGGATGGAGACCACCTGGTGGTGGCGGAGAGCGGAGGTCGAGTTTCATTCAACTTATCACCTGTGTTCAGACCCCTGGCCGCGCCAGGAAGTTGGTCGCGGGCAAGTGGTGATGAAACGTTTTGGTAGAAACGCCGGATCAGATCCGACGCATCGGCCGATGATTGCGATTTCTCTTGACCGGAATTCGGGCGATGCCTGTCAACTTGCGTTTGGACCCTGTCACTAGCGTTGTCATGACTGCGGAAATTCTGGTGGCCGACGGTCAGGAAAAGTAGTCCGCAGACGGCAAGGGAGATCAGGCTGATGATGGACGGAAGAAGTCGGCGCCTCAGGTAGTTACGAGAGCTCTTAAAGTAGCACATTATTCCCCCCAGGGAGTCTCGTAATGGTTGCATTGACCACAGCAGCAGTTATTCCGTTAGGGACTCAATGAGATGCAACGTTAATAAAAGTGACCTCTAGTAAAGAAAGAATCCAGTTGCGCAAGGATCTCGTTAGCACTGCTCTGCTCTTCACTTCAACACAACTATTGCACGGGTGCGTTCTTGGTCACGTGGTGCGAAACGTCAGACTGTCCAAGAACACACTTTGCACGAACCGCCAGATATTGGAAGTATCCTTTAGGGAATGCCCAAAAAAATATTTAAAATTAAAAAATGACAAAGTATTTCTGGTATGATATTGGTTTTAAACCGTCCACCGATCAGTTAGGGGTCGATTGTGCCTTAAATTGTAGTATCGACACTCATTATACTGTTGGTCTTTCATTTTACCATTTGTCTCCGTCATTATATCGTTGGTCTTAGTCATTATGCTGTTGGTCTCTGTCATTATACTGTTGGTCTCATTCATTATACTGTTGGTCTCATTGAGAGAAACACACAAATTAACATAGGCCTACAATGACGCGAATATTATTACTGATTACAACAAAGATACAATTTTGGTATAAAATTAAGAAGAGAAATGAATAACTCTAATGGAATGACCTTACAATTTGTATACCTATTTGTATACCTATTTATTTATTTACCTATGTGTATACTTACATTCGTAAATGAATTATTTTTTTTAACATGATGACATTTAGCCAAGGTAATTGACGCTTGATTCTATCACCAAACACACGGCAACCACTGTCTTTAAGAGGTAACTAAGTTAACATAGTCGCACACTTGACCTGCGTGGAGCCTAAGACTCTGGCACCGTCATGTAATGAAAAGGATGCTCCCACTGTACACCACGCCACAGTTAGCACTAGATCACAGATAAAAAAAAAACTGAACAAAAAGCGGCGCTCTGCCCCAGCCTGAAAGCTACATGTATTTAGTCTAGTCACGCGGTATGCGCACCACAGAGGAATGAGTGGAATCGTCCTGGTGGGATCTCTGGAACGAGCGCACTCGAAAGTCAACAAACTGGTGGGTCGATACGATACCACGTGTTTCGATATCCTGGACTGTAATGAATTTGTCACGCTCGATACTAAATAGTGTTTTAAAAAACTATAACTAGGAACGCAAATAATTATTAGATGTGAATTAATACATCTGACTGGGAAAACATTTGGAGGTCAGGGAAAAAAAAAAGGGGCGGGGGGTGTGTGACAAAAAATGCCAAACTCTCAAAGAAAAAGGAAAGGCTGCCATAGACGTTACGCTCCCTCTACCCCCGTCTTCCTACCCCTGTGCTCAGGGGCGTAGCGAAGAGGGGGCGTAGCGAAGAGGGGCGTAGCGAAGAGGGGCGTAGCGAAGAGGGGCGTAGCGAAGAGGGGCGGGGGAGGCAGATGTCCACGAGCGCCAGACTAGGTAAGGGTGCCAAAATGGGTTTTGACTGTGTTTATTGATGAAAATAATGGGTTTCAGAGTAAAAGTGAAGCGTAAAAAATGAGTCCTGTCCCCGAACTTCAACCATTCTAGCCTCGCCTCAGGTCTGTCAGTGCTCCAATATCCACATCTCAGGTAGCAGTTTTAACAAACACGCGAGGTGAACGCTTCTGTGAGAGGAAACAATCTTTTAATCTAAATTAAGAAATATCGCAGCTCATCTTCTTGTGTGTTGCTATTTGTATTAAACAACAACAACAACAACAACCAAACAAAAACAACAGCTGGCAGATTTTGTAAGTGAAAAATCTAAAGCATAGAGGATGAATAAAAACGACTACTCCATCTTCTCACCTGTTTGTTCAAATTCGCATTTTTAAATTTTTTTTTTTTTTTTTACTTGGCAGATTCGCATTGCGGTATCGAAATAATACTCGTTAACACCCGGGCGAAAAGTAACATTTTTTACAGTTGGTGTTTGAATCGTTTACGTCTGTACGTCCCAGGTTAGGACTGTGTGTGGGTGTGTGTGGGTGTGTGTGTGGGTGTGGGTGGGTGTGTGTGTGGGTGTGGGTGTGTGTGTGGGCGTGTGTGGGTGGGTGTGGGTGGGTGGGTGTGTGGTTGGGTGTGTGTGTGTGGGTGTGGGTGGGTGTGTGTGTGTGGGTGGGTGTGGGGGGTTGTGGGGGTGGGATATAAAAAAAAAGTTGAGGAAGGATATCATTGCTCATCTACAAATACTTTTTTTAACGCATACTTTTACCCTCCCACTTCTCTTTCTCTCTCTCTCTCTCTCTCTCTCTCTCTCTCGACGTCTTGGCGTCAAAGTTTGTAAATAGAGATATGCAGTTTTCATGTCTATGAGTTACTCTGTATTATAGAATGATCGCTATAGGATTGTACATGATACGTTGTGTTGTAGTCGGAGAAGTAAAAAAATTCAATCGAAAAGGAATGGTGTAAAGAATATTAAGAATCTTAATGACCGTTTTTTCTTTAGGGTTTGTGTATATAACCAGGGAGTTGTGTACCTGTAACAAGTACAAAAACAAGTACAAAATGACTACTTCACAGAAGGAGAGCTACTTCTGGGGACCACACAATGACACAGCTCGGGCAGTACAATGTATCGTAATAACTATTCCATGGGGGAGTTCACAGGCTCGCCAATTAATTTCGCGACCCTAACGGATTTTGTGAGCCTTGATAAAACATATCGGTAAACTTCTATAATAGATCTATAGATAGACACTGTTCGTCTTTTACATTTTTAACGCCTGGATTTAAAAAAAAAACAAAACCAAAAACTTTATATTAACTTCGCTTTTGTTAGTGGTTGGCTGGCTGGTAAAATCTCCGGAAGGCTAATTGACTCCCTTCCTGTCGAGCTGAAACTTGGCACATAGACTCGTTGTCGATGACAACACATTCTTTGAAATGTTCAGCCTTAAACCTTCATTAACCCCAACCGTCTAAAACAGTTTTTTCCAGTTTTTCCCTAAAACCTTCACCTGGTACAATAGCCCCCCCCCTTTTTTTCAACATAACTGAAACAGGAGTAGCAAAACTTCTCAAAATTCTTAAACCCCATAAAGCGCCCGGACCTGACTGTATCCCGAACATTGTCCTGAAGACCCTTGCTGACAACATTGCCCCAACCATGACCCACATTTTCCAAAAGTCACTTGACTCCGGCAAACTCCCTCTAGACTGGCTTGATGCAAACATCACTAGTGACTACAAGAAAGGTGACCGTCATAACCCAGCAACCTCCCTCTAGACTGGCTTGATGCAAACATCACTGGTGCCTACAAGAAAGATGACCGTCATAACCCAGCAAACGACCACCCAATATCCCTGACCTCCGTCCCATGCACAATCCTGGAACACATCATCTATCGCCACATCATGAACCACCTTGAACACTACAACATTTTGACCAACCTAAATCACGGTTTCCGCTCTGGATTCTCAACGGAAACTCAATTAATCATCACCACCAATGACCTCCTTGCCTCCTATGACAAAGGCACCGAGGTCGACATGGCAATTCTCGACTTCTCCAAGGGTTTTGACACTGTTCCACACAGCCTTCTTCTACATAAGCTCCACCACTACGGCAATCTTCACTCCTGGCTCTCAACATTCCTAACACAACGCACCATGCAAGTAGTGTGGACGGCGTCCAATCAGGGAAAGCCACCGTAGACTCAGGAGTTCCGCAAGGCACAGTGCTGGGCCTCCTTCTCTTTCTCTGTCATATAAACGACCTAACCGATACAGTAAGTTCTCAAGTGCGGCTGTTCGCTGACGACTGTCTTATCTACAGAGAGATAAACAGCAACGATGACCACAACCACATTCAAACAGATTTGAAGTGCCTTATGAATTGGGCGGACAAATGGGGCATGAAATTTAATGAAACCAAATGCTACACTATGACAATCTCAAGAAAAAAAACATCAACTCATATTTACTCACTAAACGAGACAATCCTCCAACAAGTATCCAATAGTCCACACCTTGGAATGCTCTTCTCAAATAACCTAAAATTGGTCACCCCATTTAAAAAAAAAAAAAAAAAAGCCAACTCCACCCTTGGTTTCATCCGTAGAAATCTGCGCTACGGCCCAACTTCCTGCAAACGAAATGCCTATCTCGCACTCGTCCATCCACTGCTGGAATATGGTGCGATCATCTGGGACCCACACCTTAAGCAACACGTGGACACAAGGGAGCGAACTCAACGTAACGCTGTGCGTTTCATCGCTCGAGACTACAAATCAACCACTCCTGGCCTCGTCACTGGCCTCTTAAAAAGATTTGACATACCCTCTTAAGGACAGACTAGAGGGACTCCGCCTGATATTCTTATAGAAAGTAATCATGGGACTGGTGCCGGCCATCCCAGCAGGCACGTACCTCGACACACAGAAGCCGGGTAGACTGATCAGAGCAAAACGCTCACTGAACACTGACTTCGCCACTGACATTCCCATTAACAATAATTACACCAGAAACAATTGCAAATGCTTCAAAGTGCCTCAGTGCAACACAGTTCAGTATCAACAATCTTTCTTCCCACGCACAATAATAGCATGGAACCACCTGAACGATGCCACTGTGAACTCGACATCGGTCGAAAGCTTCAAGGCCGCCCTGGCATCAGCTAGGAGCTGTTAGAATAGCAACATCATACCCCCAACCGTTGCAAAGATGCCAGTACAAGGATGCAGCAAGGAAACATTACCAGAACCAGAACCAGGAAATACAATGACGCTGATTTCACGAATTTCCCGATAACTGCGCTAAATGAGATTATTATTTTTAAAATATCACAGGTGCATTAGGTGCGTAATATTTTATTTTGTTTTTTTCATGAAATAGTCGGTAAAATTAAATCTCCGGCGTCTAAGCGGGTGGGTCGTTAGAATATTAACCTATTTGGGGGGGGGGGAAAAAGTGTTCGGTTGTGGGCCTTGTTTGGGGGGGGGGGGGAGCACTAATTGGGATTCTTCTAAAGTGCTTTACTTGTATGCATGTTTTTTTCAGATTCTCAGACCGACCCTATTGCTCGATATCAAATTTGATAAAGGATTTATTTGAAAAAAACGTTTGTTAAAGTTTTTTTTACAAAAATTAACTTACGTGCACATTAGGCTGATGGAACACACAATTCATTTCCTTCCTCAAATAACATAATTGATACTTAAAATACATTGGTTGAGATGGGATTTTTTGGTGAGAAATAATGGCTTGTCTCACTAAGTGTTGAACACACCCCGCACCTTCCAGCACTTACAGAAGCTCAGAACGTAAAACACGATAAACCAAAAATGCCAACATTCGCCATGAGAGCCACGTCTGTCTGTGCCAGCGTCACTTAAAAAAATAAATATATATATATATATATATATATATTTAAATAACGTAGTGACAGCTTGCTTTCTTGTGGAAAAACATGATAAGCTGTTCGATTGTTGGACTATTCCGATCACTGAGGCGAAGTGAGTGACGTCTGTATTATAATTTTGATAATGACGGAAGTTGAACGGGGCGAATCTAAGTTTATCAGCGGATATTCCTACGCCACTAAAACTGAATTCTGGCTTTTTTTTTTTACAATTTATTTCTGTATCTTTTAATAAGTTGGCAAAGACACGTTAGAATTAAGTTTAACATTATTTTCAATTCTCTTGTAATTAAACATCACGACAATCGGTGTAAAAATGCATTATTCTGCCTTTTAAAAATTATCAGTTTCATTTCAGTTTTGAGATGTATTGGGACTATTTTCTGGATGAAATATTTGTTGAAGTTTCAGCAGGCCCCTCCGGGTGTTAGCAGGCTTTGATGCTGTGATGAGAGATTCAGGAAACATTGATCTTCTCACATAATATGTTTATACCTTGTTATCTATGCGCCTTTACATTTATTTGACCAGTCTTGAAAAACCTCTTAAAGTACACATTAAAACGCTTAACATACTGGAATCTAATACATTTTAAGATATTACTCCCTAATTCATTTCAAAGGATAATAGATTTGAATCTTTTTGGAAGTTACTAGATTTCATTTCAATATATAATAATATTCTTGAAATCGTTAAAAAGAAGCATATTTAGCAACCATTTAGCGAAACAAAATTATTTGAAAACCTTCTAAATCTGTGTAACGTGTCATGGAACTTAACCCCGCCCACAGGTCACCGCCCCACGAGACGTCAGGTCCTGTTAGCGGTTGCCCTCTGCTTCCTGTTGTCCGTGTTCCACCGACTCCCGCTCCAGCCATATTCCATCAAGGACTATTTCAGTCACATGCGATGGGAAGCTGGTGAGTTTAGAATTACTACCACACGGCCGGAGTTTGACCACCTGAGGTGGTAAGCTTTATGAAGCCTGCAGACCCCTTGTTTAAAAACGAAACTTCCTACACACCCGACTGATATGTGTGGCTTTACCTCCATCTCCCCACATGACCGAATGGTATGTATGGCTTTACCTCCATCTCCCCAATGACCCAATGGTATGTAGAGCTTTACCTCCATCTCCCCACATGACCCAATGGTATGTAGAGCTTTACCTCCATCTCCCCACATGACCCAGTGGTATGTAGAGCTTTACCTCCATCTCCCCACATGACCGAATGGTATGTATGGCTTTACCTCCATCTCCCCAATCACCCATCTCCCCACCTGACCCAGTGGTATGTAGAGCTTTACCTCCACCTCCCCACATGACCGAATGGTATGTATGGCTTTCCCTCCATCTCCCCAATGACCCAATGGTATGTAGAGCTTTACCTCCATCTCCCACATGACCCAATGGTATGTAGAGCTTTACCTCCATCTCCCCACATGACCCAGTGGTATGTAGAGCTTTACCTCCATCTCCCCACATACCCGACTGATATGTATGGCTTTACCTCCATCTCCCCACATACCCGAATGGTATGTAGAGCTTTACCTCCATCTCCCCACATGACCGAATTGTATGTATGGCTTTACCTCCATCTCCCCACACACCTGACGGGTATGTATGGCTTTACCTCCATTTCCCCACACACCTGACGGGTATGTATGGCTTTACCTTCATCTCCCCACACACCTGACGGGTATGAATGGCTTTACCTCCATCTCCCCACACACCTGATGGGTATGTATGGCTTTACCTCCATCTCCCCCCATGACCGAATGGTATGTATGGCTTTACCCCCATTTCCCCACACACTTGACTGGTATGTAGGGCTCAGATTTCATCTCCCGACACATCTGATAATATGTATGGCCTTACCCTCATCTCCCCACAAACTTGATTGGTATATAATTATGACTTGATTCCCAAAATTTCCCCACACAACTGATCGGTATATAAAGCCTGATTCCCCACACGTTCCCCACATACCTGATTGGCAAAGATGAATTGATTCCCCACACGTTCCTCACATACCTGATTGGCATAGATGAATTGACTCCCACACTTTCCCACATACCTGATTGGCATAGATGAATTGATTCCCCACACTTTCCCACGCATCTGAATGGTGTTATCGATTTTCTCCACTCTCCAAACATTGTACAGACATGGTGGCAAGTTCCCACACTGTCACCTTCAAATCACAGACAACTTTAAATTTTCTATTGACAGATCTGAGGAACCACTACCATGTGCATGGTCAGAGACTATCACTACTTGATAGAGAAGGTCTGCCATCGGGTTGGCTTGCTGAGGACCAGCAGATTGTCAACGTGAGCTCGTACGCCATGAAACTTGCTCTCGCCAACAAGGGCTCGAGACGAGGGCAACAGCACCAGGGCAACTTGGGCAAGCGTGCGTCACGTGACGGTGAAGGCCCATCAGACAAGGGGGGCGCGGTGAGCCACCGCAAAGCGACTGACCTCGGAGCCCTTGACGACGTCACGGTCAGGAACAACACGAAACAAAGGAAGCGAAGGAGGAAGAAGAAGGTCAAGGACACGGGTGTCATGGCGACGGTCGCCCCGGATGCCGTCGCAGGTGGAGGCAAGCCGAGGTTGGGCGTGACCGAAAAGCTAGTGAGAACACTTCAGCCAACTGTCAAAGTCCGTTAATTTGTATCTGACAGGCGCATTCGCCTAGAGATAGATGTCAGTGACAATGTGACAATGGCCAAGCGACGTCCACGGGGGCTAACAGTTTTCAAATAATTGTGTTTTTACGCCCCCCCCCCCTTTTCCCTATTGAACTTTGATACCACATAAGACGTAACGGCTGTTGTGAACACATGGCAGTGGCAGCTTCATAAACGATCATTATTTTGTTGTGAGCATTGTTTGAAAGCACCTACACAACTTGGATGACACAAAGACGTTAATTGTTATTATAACCGTGACATGCGGCTCCATCAGTTGAGCCGTTCGTTCGTTTGTTTTTTAAAGCTTAAAATAAGTCACCCCCAGCCCCTACCCCCAACCACCCCCCGGGCCCACTTTCCCAAAACACTCCTCAATCTTTCCCCAACCAAACAGTTGTTAGATAAAAAATTTTAAAAAGCCATATGACTATAACATATTGACCTGATTGTTGTAATAAAGAACACATGTTGGTAGTTATCAGGGTGATTGTTGTAATAAAGAACACATGGTGGTAGTTATCAGTCTGATTGTTGTAATAAAGAACACATGGTGGTAGTTATCAGTCTGATTGTTGTAATAAAGAACACATGGTGGTAGTTATCAGTCTGATTGTTGTAATAAAGAACACATGTTGGTAGTTATCAGTCTGATTGTTGTAATAAAGAACACATGGTGGTAGTTATCAGTCTGATTGTTGTAATAAAGAACACATGCTGGTAGTTATAAGTCTGATTGTTGTAATAAAGAACACATGGTGGTAGTTATAAGTCTGATTGTTGTAATAAAGAACACATGTTGGTAGTTATCAGGGTGATTGTTGTAATAAAGAACACATGGTGGTAGTTATCAAGCTGATTGTTGTAATAAAGAACACATGGTGGTAGTTATCAAGCTTATTGTTGTAATAAAGAACACATGCTGGTAGTTATCAGGGTGATTGTTGTAATAAAGAACCCATGGTGGTGGTTATCAGGCTGATTGTTGTAATAAAGAACACATGTTGGTAGTTATCAGTCTGATTGTTGTAATAAAGAACACATGGTGGTAGTTATCAGTCTGATTGTTGTAATAAAGAACACATGGTGGTAGTTATCAAGCTGATTTTTGTAATAAAGAACACATGGTGGTAGTTATCAGTCTGATTGTTGTAATAAAGAACACATGTTGGTAGTTATCAGTCTGATTGTTGTAATAAAGAACACATGGTGGAAGTTATCAGTCTGATTGTTGTAATAAAGAACACATGGTGGTGGTTATCAGTCTGATTGTTGTAATAAAGAACACATGGTAGTAGTTATCAGTCTGATTGTTGTAATAAAGAACACATGCTGGTAGTTATCAGGCTGATTGTTGTAATAAAGAACACATGGTGGTAGTTATCATTCTGATTGTTGTAATAAAGAACACATGTTGGTAGTTATCATGCTGATTGTTGTAATAAAGAACACATGTTGCGGTTATCAGACTGATTGTTGTAATAAAGAACACATGGTGGTAGTTATCAGGCTGATTGATGTAATAAAGAACACATGGTGGTAGTTATCAGGCTGATTGTTGTAATAAAGAACACATGTTGTAGTTATCAGGCTGTCTAAAACCCCATATTATTATAGTGGAAGTTATAGTTACCTTTTGCGCCCAATATTTTCTTAAATGAGCTCATTTTCCTTTCATTATCTGAACCAACCTTTAATTTTTGAAAAAGTTGGAATATTGTAATGTATATTATGCAGTGCAGCAGTAAAGAAACTATTTTTAAACTGCGCCTTGAGTCATTGTTTCTCAATTCCTGAATTCTTTGGGCAGGGAGAACTCCTTAAATTGTATCCTCTTCTGATCCCGTGGCAGCCAAAACTTACACAAGGGGGAGCTAAATATGTTAGTTACTTGTTCCTTTCTAGCGCTGACCTATAAATCAAGCTCCGTTGTATGCCGGCATGTCGGATACTTGAGTCGCGGGCAGCGGTTCTCTCGTTATATATATAGCCTAATTTTTTTTTTTATTCTAAGACGGACTGGAATGAATTATTAAAGTTCCGATTATTAAACCTTGATGCTTTTATGATGAAATATATATTTAAATGAAATATGTTATGAATGACTCCTTTATTGATAACAAGCCCACAAACTGACAAGCCCACAAACTGACAAGCTCACAAACTGACAAGTCCACAAACTGACAAGCCCACAAACTGACAACCTCACAAACTGCCCATTTTCTTTTTATGTCTTATAAATTGACATCGTAGACTTGTGAGACCTTGTGACACCATGTGGCACCTTGTGACACCTTGTGGCGCCATTTTTCGCAGCACCCCGGACTGAATAACCCGGCATAAGATAAGTTTAATACCACAATGCCCTTAAAAAAAAAAAAACACTGTGTTGGATTGAACTCCAAATTTGCCAAAATTAAAATCTGAACAAACTGTCTCATGCGATACTTTAACTATCGGCCATCATTTTTTAGGTCATAGGAAATGACTCAAGCGATATACACAAATCCCATAGGGCTCTTCAGGGCTTGAGTGAGGCCCCGGCCATCAACGTTTATTGTGGGCCCTTCAGGGACTTGAGTGAGGCCCCGGCCAGTCATCGTTTTTGGAGGGCCTTTCAGGGCTTGAGTGAGGCCCCGGCCACTCATCGTTTTTGGAGGGCCCTTCAGGGCTTGAGTGAGGCCCCGGCCACTCATCGTTTTTGGAGGGCCCTTCAGGGCTTGAGTGAGGCCCCGGCCACTCATTGTTTTTGGAGGGCCCTTCAGGGCTTGAGTGAGGTCCCGGCCACTCATCGTTTTTGGAGGGCCCTTCAGGGCTTGAGTGAGGCCCAGGCCACTAAATTTTTTTGAGGGCCCTTCTTTCATCCCAAAGCGCTCACGGTCACTGAGTTACGTCGCTGTGATGGCACCATGGGGGACTCACACGCAATCTTCATTGAGAAGAATGGAGTGCACATTCCCTGTCAAGAAAAGTCTTGAAAGTAAAATGTTAAGTCCCATTTAAAAAAAAAATATTGCAATTAAAATTACGTTTTAAAATGAGTGCTACTGATTTTAATCCATGCCTTTGAACCACTCGTCATGACTGAACAATGATCAGAAAATATTTGAAACTAATAAATTGACTTGGGATGACTTCAGGCCTCAAAGAATGTCTTGTATTTTTCAAGTTAAATAACCTGCCTCCCCCCCCCCTTCCCCCCCCCCAATACAAATTAGAAACCCTTAAACAAGAACGTTTTTTGTATAATGTTCTATTAACCCACCCGAATTTACACCGTAGATTTATTTCACCAACTATTTCAGAAAAACAAAAGAAACTATTACCCACCAAACACACCTGCGATAATTTTTAAAAAAAATAATCTCATTTAGCGCAGTTATTGGGAATTTTATTTCATGAAATAAGAGTCGACATATTTATTTCTTTTTCCTTTGCAAAGCAGGACAAACTTATTTTTGGAGGTTTGGGCTTGGGGATGGGGCTTAAAACTTGAAATAATATGTTGTCATTGGCAACAAGTTTATGTGCCAAGTTTCAGCTCAATAGGTTAAAGGGGAGTGGGTCAATTAGCGGTCCCAAGATTTTGACTTAAAACACAAAAAAGAAGTACATATAAAGCATTTAATGTTGTTGTTGTTTTTTTTTTTGTTGTTGTTTTTTTTGATATCCCGTAACATGGCAACATCTATAGGTAATAATTAACGAATGTTATAAAATATTTCCATTACAGCAATTACAATAATTAAAATATGTTTCTAAAATTTTTTTCAGAGTCATCATCCATTCATTCATATTAATGACTTAACAAACACATTTTTCGATATGTCTAAAACTATCGCTGACATTATCATTAAATTATTATTCTAATTGTTTAATATAAGATAAAAAATTTAAGTTGTAATTTTTGTATAGCAATACAATATCCATGATCAGTTAACGTCAATATATATATATATATATCATGTCAGTTGTCAGCTTTACAATTTAAAAAAAGCAAGACCGACAGAGGTAAAAGAATGAGTTATACGAAAACGTTCTGTCCAAGGGAAGCAACCCAAGTAACTCTATGCTCTAAGCCAAGGGCAACAAAAGTTTTCTACAAAGCTGTGTTTTAAATTTGATAGAATTTTCATATATGTTGTTTACTGCTTTTTTTAGTTTTTTTTTTTAAAATATTTGTATTTGCATTTTTGTTGGCACTTAGCGAAGGGTAAAATTCTTAAGAAAAATCATTGCAGCAAATTTCCTTAATCTTCCCCTTGAAAAAAAAAATGATTTGTGGGGCTGGCGTACGGCTGCAAAATTGAAAGAATGTATTTTAAGCGGCATCGACTCCATGTGCCAATTTTCAGCTCGATAGGTTGACGGTAAGTGAGTCAAAGATTTTGAGAGTAGTGGGTGGGTCTGAAATTTTGACAAAACATGCATTCAAGAAACGGCATTTAAAAGAATCCCAATTAGTGCCGCCCCCCACCTACCAAGGCTCGCCACCGCACATTTTTTTTACGCCCCTGAACTAAATAAATATTCTGATGTTCCCCCCGCTTTGACACCGCAGATTTATTTCATTTATCAATAAAAATTTTAAGAAATATGTTGTCATCAGCGATGAGGCTATGTGCCAAGTTTCATTTCGATAGGCTGACGCGAAATGGGTCAGTTAGCCATTCGAAGATTTTGTCTTATAAAAAGAAACACACGAACAAAAGCGAACTTTATATAAATGATTTCATAATATGCTTCCAAAGACTGATAGTGGCTCAATTTTAGTTCTTGCCGTGGCGCCATATGTGATAGTGGCTCAATTTTAGTTCTTGTAATAGTGCCATATGTTTTAGGGGCACAATTTTAGTTCTTGCAGTGGCACCATATGTCATAGGGGCTCAATTTTAGTTCTTACAGTGGCGCCATATGTGATAGGGGCACAATTTTAGTTCTAGCCTTGGCGCCATATGTCATGGGTTCGCCTCTGGGAAATGATTTTAAAATAAATAATTTAACCCTAAGATATTTGAAACTTGCGCACCAGGTTCAGACGCAGTCAG